CCCCCGACAAGTCGCCGCTACTCGAGTCCTCTCAAAAGTAACTTCGCCACTTCTTCCGGCAACCCCGCCATGCGTCACTTCCGGAGAGGGGCGTGGAGCGAACGGTGATGCACTTCCGGTCCGTTGGGGACCCGCCAAATCCGTGCCCCGCACGGAAGTCCCGTCCTCCCCGGAAGTGTGTTCCGCCGGGGCGCTCCCGGGGGCCGGCAGCAGAGTTCCGGGCCGCACGGTGGACGCCGGCCTGCAGGGGGCGTGGCCGCCCCGGTCCCCGCGAGCTCCGCCGGAGCCGCCCGGCCGTGGCTGCTTTTCGCCGGCTTCAACCGTGGTCGCCGCTTCTGCTGTTACAAATTTTCTGGGTTTGGCGTCTCACTACTTGTTGGTTTTAATTCAGTTAAATTATCAATCTGGATCCAGAAGGTGTATTTTGGTTACTGGAAAGAATTACAAATAAAACCCCCTAGTCTCCCACTATCAAAAAGGTAAAAAATATCATAATACTTGAATAGAAGATGAAAATTGTCCCAAAGTCTTTTCCTCAGAGAGTATAAACAGATCTTACGATATCTGTATCCGCATACTTTTTTGAATTATTTACTTAATTGTATTTATTCATTTATTTTAATTTGACCAGAGAGAAAGTGAGAAAGCAAGCCACCAGGTCTGGGACTCGAACCATGGTTGACCATGTGGGAGTGTCCAGTGCTTTAACCACTATACCACCTACTGGTATCCCTGCATACTATTTTTTTGAGAGATTTTTCCTACAAGGCACATGCGGTCCCCAGAAAGAGAGACAGAAAGCGTGAAAACACCCCCCAGGGGGGATGGCCACGCTGCAATCCCTTCTCCATTCTCCTCTAGAGATCTTGGGAACGCACGCGCACACACACCAGGCGTGAGTTAAAACCACCGAGTCTGAGGACTCAAACAGCGGTCGACTACATGGGAGTCCAGCGACATAGCCATTACACTAACTGCTGGTCCTACAAATAAATATTTTTAAAAATTGAAAAAGATAATTGGTATCTAAAAGCAGAGCAGGGTCAAATTGTCTGGGAACATGGGGGGTAGAACTGTATGATTCTCAGGACCAGTAGTTGGCGTAATGTCTATATCGCTAGACTCCCATATAGTCTACTGTGGTTCGAATCCCAGACCCGGTGACTTAAACGCATGCCATGTGCGTATGCGTGCGTGCCCAAGATCCCAAGAGGAGAGTGAAGAAGGTACTGCGGTGTGGCCATCCCCCCGAGAGGTGATTTTTTCACTTTCTGTCTGTCTCTCTCTGTCTTTCTGGCAAGCGTACATGTACATGCCCTATAGCAAAAACCTCTCAAAAAAAAAAAATGTGATTCTCAGTAAGGCGGTCAGGGCAGGCTCGTGAAGGAGGTAGCCTTCAAGCAAAGCGCTGACGTAGAATAGACAGTGATGAGGTCTTCCCTTGGCTCAGGCAGAGCAGCTCACGCAAAGGCCCAGAGGCAGAGTGGGGTGGTATCTGAGGGACGCAGAGGAGGCCAGGGGGCCTGAGCAGAGTGAGAAGCGGAGAGGAGAGGAGATGGGGTCAGAGGGAATGGCACCAGCTCCCCTGAGGCTCTTCGATTCTGCGATGCCACTGGGGTCGCCAATCCCTTGACCCCACCCGCTTTTCTCCATTCTGTCCCCTCGTCCCACCTATCCTCTTCCTTCCTTCCCCAGCACTCTATGGTCACGTTAATTGCACACACAGCATAACTCACGCACTCCTTCTGGAATCACACTCCCCTGGGCAGCCGGCCTCTGAGACAGTCCCCAACTGTCCCCACCTCGTGGCTTTCCCAAATTCATGCAGACTCTTTCCACAGTGAGCAAGGGCTAAGCTGTGTGACCATGAGGAGGCCAAGCTCCATCACAGGGAAATGCGGCTTCCATCGTGGCTGTGCTGGGGTCTGCCATGTTGTGAGGAAGCTCAAGCAGCCCCATGGACTGGTCCCCAGGTACTTCCCTGCTGTGAGTGCTACAGTATTTTAAAAAGCATTTATAAAAAGCATTAATTTAATCAATTTATTATCATTATTTTAGTTTGCTATAGAGCACATGTGCTCACCAGAAAGGCAGAGAAAGGGAGAGAGGGAAAACCAGAACGCAAGCTGCCAGATCAGAGACTCGAGCCACAGTAGTTCACGTGGGAGTCTAGCACCTTAACCGCCGTGCCACCTGCTGGCCTCAGGGTTACAGTTTTAATATGTTCCCCTACATTCACATGAGGAGCCACGGAAACAAGGTTAAGAGAGTGAACACTTGGCCACCAGACGGTGTGGAGGTTAAGGCGCTGGATCACGCGTGGCCGGCTTCATGGTTCGAGACTCAGACTCGGCAGCTGGAACATGTCAGTGTGAGCTAGAAAGCCCACAAGGCAGAGCAGACGTTCTCAGAAATGCTGCGGCCCCACCATCGGGGCGCTTGTTTACAAATGCAGGCTCCTGGGCCCTCTCCCAGCTACAGACCAGAATCTCTGAGGTGGCGTCCAGGAATCTGTATTGTCTTTATGACCCCGGGGTGGGGGTGCGTGTGCTCAGCAGAGAGAGGCAGAGAAACAGAGAGGGGAGGGGGAGAGAACGCCTCAATGGGGCGTGGCCACGCGGCGAGCCCCTCCCCGCCCTGAGATCCGGGGCACGCCAGCACATGCCTGGTGCGGTTTTCAAGCCGCTGGGGCTGGGACTCTAGCCACGCAGTCGGCCCCGTGGGATCGGCTCCTTTATCCACTGGGTCAGGAAACTGCGTTTTCACGAGATTTTGGATGCTTGTCAAAACTGGAGAAGTTCCTGGGCCAGCAGATGGTGTAGCAGTTGCATCGCTGGACTCCCACCTGCCCACTGCGATTCAAGGTTCAGACCTGGTGGCTTGAAGCTCTCACTGCGTACATGTGCATGAGCCCCAGATCCCGAGAGAATGGAGGAGAAAGGACTGCCCTGTGGTCATCCCCCCTGGGGGGTGATTTCTTACTTTCCCTCTCTCTGTCTCTGCCTCTCTCTCTCTCTCCCTGGTGAGCACACACGCCCAAAGGAAAAAACAAAAACAAAAGACAAACAAAAAAAACCCTTCTAAATAAAAAAGAGGGGCCGGCAGGTAGCTGGGTGGATAAAGGCGCTGGATTCCCACATGGCTGACCGCAGTTCAAGTCCTGGACCTGACAGCTTGCTTTCTCACTTTCCCTTTCTTTGTTTCTCACTGTCACTGGTCAAATTAAAGAAATAATAGCAAATGTAATTACATAAATAAATAATTCTTAAAAAAAAATCTTAAGGTGCTTCATTGCGAAGGGGGGGAGTAAGCAGATGGAGACACTACTAATAATTTCTACGTGTTTTGGATGGTGGCAGGACTGTTTGGGTGAATCTACTGTGTGTGTTCCAGTAAGGTCCAAATAAGATGATAACCACCGCGGGCTTCCCCACGTGGGCCCTCCCGTGACATCTGCTCTGACCCTCCCCCTGCCCTCCACACGGTCTGTTCCTCTCACTTGCCCAAGGACACACTTGTGGTTAATGAGTCTCAGAAAAGTGAAGTGAAAGTTAGAATGAAAAGCTACACCTACTACACGATGGGGATTGGGTGATGGTCCCCGCTGAGAAGACCCCACCACCACCACCAAACCTGGAGGGAGGAGCGCCAGGGACACAGCTCCGCTTCTCTTCTGGGGACTCTGCACAGCGCTGCAGGGACCTTCCCCTGTGGATGTGCCATCCTCCTCGCACTTGCTGACCCCACGTGGCCCTTCCTGTCCTGATCACTCCTGATCTGGAGGTGGGGCCTGGACAGGGTGGAGCCTCTGGGGAAAGAAAAGGGGCCCCAGGACGCCTGGATCCACACAGGCTCCCCAGAGATGCCTCCTCCACTGCCACCACGACTGCTGCTGTCCCTGCTGTTGCTCCTGCCGCTGCTGAATGCCCAGCTGGTCCGGTATGGGGACCCCTCCCACCACCCCGACCCTGGGACGGCTCCACCTCTGGCCTTTGTAGCCTGGGGCTCCCCAGCTCAGTGACTCCCAACCCAGCGCCCCAGAGTCCCGACTTCTCTTTCTCGGGTCCTGGGGTCTCTAAACCAGGCTCCCCCTGGCCAGAGGCTCCCCTGGGTATCTAAGACCCACGCCCTTTTCAGTCCAAGATCCCTGTGGTCAGACTCAATTGAGAACCTCCTCTCCCCTCAGGACAGGTTTTGGGGAGCCCCAGTGGGTCCCACCCAGCTCTGCTATCTGGAACTGGGTCTCCAGCCCTGTGGTACCTGACATTCCCCTGAGCCACCACAGCCGTGGCCGTGGCCGGGTACACGGGGCACCGTTGCTGGGAGGCTGAGGCCACAGAGGAGGCCAGGCTTCAGTTCTCTGTGCACCCTGAAAGCCACACGGGAGGCCCTATGGTCCCAGCTACCTGGGAGGCTGAGGCAGGGGGATTATGATAGAGGCTCTGTCTAAAAGCAAAAGCAAAATCAAAAACAAAGAGCACAAAAAAATCGAAGTCCAGATTTGGAGCACTGCCCCCACCTTCCTCTGAAGACTCCCCAGTCTCTCCCTCCCTCTTCTCTCACCCCCTGGAACTCTTCTCTTTAGTTTTTCTTTTGTTGTTGTTGTTGTTTTTGTTTTTGTTTTTGAGATGTTTTTGCTATATAGGGCATGCACTCACCAGAAAGACAGAGAGAGACAGAGAGACAGAAAGTGAGAAATTCTTGGGCATGCAGCACATGTATCCGGTGTGAGTTTAAGCCACCAGGGCCAGGACTCGAACTGCAGTCAACTACATGGGAGTCCAACGACATAGCCATTATGCCAACTGCTGGTCCCAAGAACTTCCCCCGTTTAGAAAACAAACAAACAAAAACCAGTGGCGAGAGGGTGAGTGTACTTGCTGGAGAGAGACAAGGAGAGGGAGAATGAGAAAGCGCTGGCCACGCCACAATCTCTTCTCCTCTGCTCTCCTCCTGAGATTTCGGGCAAGCACGTGTGCCCAGTGTGATTCTCAAGCTGCAGGGTCTGGGACCCAAACCACGCAGTTGGACATGTGGGATCCACCCAACACTTTCCCCTCCGTGGCACCTGCTGGCTTTCCTCCCACCCCTCCTGCACCCTGTCCCCACCGGAACTTGGAACTTGTGATGGAGTGGGGAGTGCCCTTCCAGGAAGCATTTCCCACTTCACATTCTTGTGCCTCTCAAAGACTGAGTCACAGGCCTGGTGTGAGTGAGGGTCAGTGCCTGAAGCGTGACCAGAGGCAGGCAGAGAAAGACCACTGCCCCTGAAGTCTCTTAATCAGCTTTTTTTTTAAGAGTTATTTTATTTAACTTTATTTATTTAATCATTTTTTTAAAATGTGACCAGAGAGGAACAGAGTATGAGAGAGAAAGAGAGAGAGAAAGAAAGTCACCAGTTCTGGGACTTGAACTGCTATCAGTCATGTGGGAGTCCACAGGCCTTAACCACCATACTAGCTGCTGGCACCCTCCCTTCCTCCCTCCCTTCCTTCCTTCCTTCCTTTCTCTTTCTTTCTCTCTTTCTCTTTCTCTCTTTCTCTTTCTCTCTTTCTCTTTCTCTCTCTTCCTCTTTCTCTCTTTCTCTCTTTCTCTTTCTCTCTCTTCCTCTTTCTCTCTTTCTCTCTTTCTCTTTCTCTCTCTTCCTCTTTCTCTCTTTCTCTCTTTCTCTTTCTCTCTCTTCCTCTTTCTCTCTTTCTCTCTTTCTTTCATTTGACCAGCGAAGGACAGAGCGAGAGTGAGAGAGAGAGAGCACGCAAGAGGGAAAGTGAGAAAGCAAGGTGTCAGGTCAGGACTCTCAGCCATGTGGGGGTCCACAGGCTTAACCATCATGCCACCTGCTGCTGCTTCACCAGTTTTTTGAAGGAATAGATTACGCCATTTTGCAAGTCAATGACAAGAATGGTGGGTCTCAGAATGCAGTGAGTTACAGGAAACTGGTGAGAGGTGCCGATTCCTGGGCTCCTCCCAGGCCCACTTAATCACCAACTCAGAGGTCTGGACTTCAACTTGTGCCCTGGCTCAAGGGTTGGCAGACACTCAGCTCAAGGGCCAGACCCAGCCTGCCATCCACTGTGAAAACGCAGTTTAAAGGAGCCCGCCTGTGTGCACGCCTTTGTGGGCAGGTAGAGGGGGGCTTGGGGCTCCCCAGGTCTATGCAGGAAGGTTTGCTCCACACCCCTGGTCTGACATCCCCTGTCCTGGTGCGTTTGCTTCACGCTGAGTTCAAGGACCAAGGCCTGCAGAGAGAGCCGCGTCCTCCTTTCCAGCGGTCGGAGTTCTACGTGGGCCCCCGGCAGAGCTGAGCCACGCGCACTGCGGGCGGGGCAGTTTCCCGCTGCCAGACTGGATGCCGCCTCGGACACATCTTACTGTCCTGCCAATCGGCGCCTGCCCGGGAGAGCCTGGGACCGAAGCTCTCGGGTTAAAGGGTGTGCAGGTCGGGAGGTGGTGCGGCACCGCGCAGTCGCTTCTGGTGCAGCGAGGTGACAACGGGGCAGTGGGGGGGTGCGCGCCCAGCTCCCAATGCAGGGACAGCAGCGACCCCAAGTCTCTGTCTCATGCTCACGAAGAATTAGAGACGCAGACACTGAGAAGGAGCAGTGAGGTGGAGAGCTTGTTAGAGAGGAAAGACAGATCAGAGCTCTCAGCACCGAATGTCCCGGAAATTGGGCTGCCAAGAATACTGAGCTGGGGGGTTTAATCTCTATGAGAGGCTCCATTCAGGCTTCCTGTATTTATTTAGGCTTGTTTGGTCTCTGGGAAGCTGACTATGAGAAGTAAGAAGCGGTATGCAGAGGACTGGCCACGTTGAGAGAAACGCCAGCTCACTGACAGGCTTCGTGCTGCTCAAAAGGCGCGCGCAGGGACTGAGCTGCCTGCAGGGGGCGCTGCTGGAGGGTGGAGCTGGGCGCGCACCCCCCACTGCCCCGTTGTCACCTCGGGTCCTTTAGGTCCAGAGCTCTAAGACCCCGGTCCTGAGACTCCGAGTGACATCACAAACGCATGTGAAGTAGGAAAAGAGAAGTTTTAATAGAAAAGTAGAGATTTCTAATAGCAAGGAAATACACCCCCATGCCTGAAAGGCACGGACGGCTGCCAGAGAAGGACACCTGCTCTGGGCGTGGGGCTGGGTGTCTTTTCTCCTGGGGGTTGGTGATGAGTCTTTAGCAGGGGAAGGCCTGTCCTAGTACCCGACTTTTTGGTTTCCCGGACTTTTTCCCGCACCTGCACACCTCTCGGGTGAGGAATTTATTGATCTCATCACACACACCCAGGGGGGTCTTCGAAGGGATGAGCATCCGTGTCTCGATGTTGACTTGGGGTCTCATCCCAGGGGTGCCTCTGTGTGTGTATCTGGGGCAGCAGAAAGAAGATAACAACCCTCCTGGTGCCCAGAGCCGGGTGGGGAGGGTGGGAGGAGGGCTCTTCAAGAGGGTCTGGAAGCATCCCCTGGTAGGCCCTGAATGATCAAGCGCTGTGAGACAGCTCCGGCTGTGAGAAGCGGTGAGCAGGTCGTCAGAGCTCACGCTTGATCTCCAGTGAGAGCAGTGAGTGACCTTCTCAAAAGCTTGACCAGGGACCAGCAGTTAGCATAATGGCTATGTCACTGAACTCCCATGTAGCCGACCACAGTTCGAGTCTGGACCTAGTGGCTTAAACTCACGCCGGGCACGTGTAGGTGCGTGCCCAAGATCCCGAGAGGAGAATGGAGAAGGGATTGTGGCATGGCCATCCTCCCTGGGGGGTGATTTCTCAATTTCTCTCTCTCTTTCTGGCAAGCACACATGCCCTATAGAAAAAAAACTCTCAAAAAAATAAAAAGCTTGACCAGAGTGACTCCATTTTATAAGCTGGTTGTAACTTATATGTGTGTATCCATTTGCTATCGTGGTGACCCTTCCATGGGGATCCTGCCCTATTTACCTACTCACTGGGTCTAATCCCTGGCTCACTTCCACATGGGAAGGTCCCACATTGGAGTCCCAAGGTCTCCCTGAGCACACCAGGGTCACACGAGTGTGTCTATGGCCTACCAGCTGAGACTGCGGGGGCACTATGGTGCCAAGACCCTCTTGGGGTCTCTCTAGTTCTCTCTTTCTCTCTCTCATAGAATAAGTAAATAAAATAAATAAAAATAAACTTTAAAAATCAGTAAAAGGGGACCGGCAGGTGGTGTGGTGGTTAAGGGCGTTGGACTCCCACAAAGCCAAGTGCAGTTCGAGTCCCAGACCTCGTGGTTTGCTTTCTCACTTAACCCGCCCTCTCTCGCTTTGACCCTCCCTGGTCAAATTTAAGTAAATAAATAAAGTTAAATAAAACAATTCTTTAAAAAATTAAAAGGTAGGTACAATTTGAAGGCTTTGATGCATATTTGGTAAATCATGCTCCAGAAAATTTGTATCAGCTGACGCCCCCTGGCCAACAGTAAATGCTCTCACTTTTATGCCATCTGCAGGGTGAAACAACGTTTCTCACTCTTTTTTGTTTGATTTCAGTTTACTTATTTTTTCCATATGGGGGGTACGTTCCCAACAGTGTCTTTGTGTCACTATGCATCCCCAGTCCCAGCGGCCGGCTCACTTGGGTGTGGGTGTGTGTCCCGACCCAGGAGGACAGTCGAACAGGTTTCCTGAGGGAAGGAGTGAGAGACGGGACGAGCGGCGCAGAGATGACGCACGCAGTGTTACAACACGGAGACGACACAGTGTCTTCAGGGTCGTCCGTTTATTGTGGGCAGCACAGTACAGCACGGAGACAATGCAGTGTTACAACTCTTCAGGGTCGTCCGGAGATGACGCGGTGTTACAACTCTTCAGGGTCTTCTTGGTCATCTGTGTCGTCTGGAGATTGTGGGCCAGGGATCATGGTTATATACATGTTGGTGGGCTGTGATTGGTTGTAAAAGATGGGTTATGATTGGTTGCTTTTGGACCAATCATGAAGTGCCGGATATGCAAATATGAGGGATTCTAGTGGCCAATTAGAGTATGGTTTCGAAGGTGTGGTTTTGAAGGGAAGCTAATCATGGCTTTTGGCATTGTGTAACTGTTTGCTCTCTGAGAAACCGGCAATATTTGCTAGTGCGCAGCCTCCCACAGGTGTGTGCCCTGCATACCCAGGGAGGTCCAGGGGCAAACCCAGAACCTTTCCCACAACAGTCCGGTTGTATTCCTGTTGTCACTGCCTGGCCCAAGGTGTCTCTCTCTCTCTTTTTTTTTTTTTTTTTTTTTAAGATTTATGCCATAGAGCCTGTGTGCACACTGGAGAGAGACAGAGACAGAGAGATAGAAAGTGAGAAAACATCCTCAAGGGGGATGGCCAGGTCACAGTCCCTTTTCCTCCATTCTCTCTTGGGATTTTGGACATGCACATACACATACCAGGTGTGATTCTCAAGCCACTGGGTCTGGGACTTGAACAGCAGAGCTGGCCATGTGGGAATCCAGCGTCTTAACCACTATGCCATCAGCTGACCCCATTTGTATTTTCTCTGGTAACTGTCAAGGTTGACCATCTTTCCCTGTGTTTAGGAGCTCTTACTTTCTTTTCTGTTTTCTGTTTGTTTGTTTGTTTGATTTTGAGGTGTGTGTTTTGGGTTTTTTTTTTAGAGAGACATTTTTGTTATAGGGTACATGCACTTGCCGGAGAGATAGAGACAGAAGGGAAGAAATCACCACCTAGGGAAGATGGCCATTATGCAATCCCTTCTCCATTTTCCTCAGGATTTTGGGCATGCACACTCACACACCCAGCGAGAGTTTGAAGCCACCGGGTCCAGGCTTTAACTGCGGTCAACAATGTAGGAGTCTAGCAACATAACCATTATGCTATCTGCTGATCACTATTAGTATTTTTTAAATCTTAAATATTGTTTTAAAATAATTTATTATTATTTAATTTGCCAAAGAGTGCATGTGCTTGCTGGAGAGAGACAGTGAGACAGTGAAAGGGAAAGTGAGAAATCAGCACGCACACACACACACACACCCGGGGAAATGGTTATGCTACAATTCCTTCTCCTCGTCTTTGCAGACAGAGTGTTACTATGGTAGCTGTGTTTGTGGCGTGTCTTGATGTCTTAAAGTGAGTGAAGCCTCTGGTCCTCTCCTGCATTCTCTGGCCTGCCTAGCAGTCCTGGGTAAGTGTTTTATTTTCTCTTATGGTTTTTAAAGTTTTTTACTATGGGGCAAAAATGCTTTCCTGAGAGGTAGAGAGATGGGCAGTGTAGGTGGGGAGGAATGAGAAATCACTCCCCAGAAGAGATGGCCACACTACACTCTCTTCTGCTCCATTCTCCTCTCAGAATCTTGGGCACACACACACATTTGCCTGTTGTGAGTTTGAAGTTGCTGGGTATGGGACTCAAACCATGGTTGACTATGGTTTGAGTTCAGTGATGTAACCATTATGCAATCTGTTCATCCAGTAATGGCTTATTTTAAATTTCTTAAAAATAATTGCTTTATGGGAACCAGCAGTTAGCGTAATGGCTATGTCGCTGGACTCCCATGTAGTCGACCGCAGTTCACATCCCGGACCTGGTGGCTTAAAACTCACGCCGGGCATGTGTGCGTGTGTGCCCAAGATCCCGAGAGAATGGAGAAGGGATTGCAGCGTGACCATCCCCCCGGGGGGTGATTTCTCGCTTTCTGTCTCTATGTCTCTCTCTGTCTGTCTGGCGAGCGCACACGCCCTATAGTGAAAACCTCTCCAAAAAAAAAAAATTGATTATTATTATTATTAAATTTTACCAGAGACAGACAGAGATCAGAGAAAAGTAAGAAAGGAGGCCACAAGGTCTAGGACTCAAACTGTGGTCAGCCATTTGGGAGTCCAGTGCCTTAACCACCACATCATCTACTGGCCATGAAGTGTTTTTTTTTTTTTAATAATTATTTAATTTATTCATTCATTTATTTTTTAGTTTGATCAGAGAGAGACAGAGGGTGAGAGTGAGAGAGAGAGGAAGGAAGAAAGCAAGTCACCAGATTCAGGACTCAAACCCTGGTCAGCCATGTGGGAGTGTTCAGTGCATTAACCACCACACCACCTGCTGGTCCCCATGAAGTGGCTTATTTTAAAGGTACAGATGTTCCTCAATTGTGATGGGTTTATCTCCCAATAAGCCCATTATGCCTTGAAAATATCATAAGTTGAAAATGCATGTGGACTATTAATTTGGAAGCATGGTTTCCACTTGTACTCCAATCAGTGAGAAAATAAGAGGACATCCAGTTTTAGCCAGATTAGAATCTTTATTAGCCGGCTGACTGCGAGAGGACTGAGTCACTCCAAAACCTTGCAGCTCCAAGGCAGGGGGGAAGAAAAAAAAAAAAAAAAAAAAAAAGAAAAAAAAAAAAAAAAAAAAAAAAAAGAAAAAAACCCTACAAGCCTCGTTATGAGAGAGTGGTTTACAAAAGTCGAAAAAGTGTTATCAGAAAGGACAGTTATTATCAGTGAAGAGTTACTGGGAGGCACATAGGGGTGCAGTCACGGGGAAAGGAGAATGGCCAAGGCTGATCCAAAATGGAGATCCTCATACTTCACACTGAACGCGCATCTCTTTCCCACCTCTGTAAGGTCGTAAAACCCCAAGTCAGACCATCACGAGCCAAAGATGTCTGTATTTGGATACAGACTGGTCCTCGGTAAGGTCTGGGGGTTTGCTCTTGTCTTTGCAGAGGTGTGTCATCATGGTGGGAGGCTGTCATTGTCAGGTTTCTGGAGGGCCTTGGAGGTGTTTAACTGGTCATTGTTTTCTACTTGAGAAGGTCCCCAGGAAGAACAGCTTTCTAACCATCGGTATCCTTCATCCCTACAGGATCCCTCTACGTAGAGTCCCTCCTGGACAAAGGACCTTGAGCACCTTGAGGGGATGGGAAACGCCCCCCAGGTTGGGGGTCCCATCCCCTGGGGACAAGCCTGGTTCTGTGCCTCTCTCCAACTTCATGGATGTGAGTCACAGCCCATAGCCCCAGAGCCTCACCCCGTGCCCTCACACCAAACTCCTGACTTGCTGTCTCCTCTTGCCATCAGGTTCAATATTTTGGGGAGATTGGGCTGGGAACGCCTCCGCAGAACTTCTCTGTGGTCTTTGATACTGGCTCCTCAAATCTCTGGGTCCCATCCAAAAGATGCCACTTCTTCAGTGTCCCTTGCTGTGAGTCTTCATGGGGGAGAATAAGGTTGAATGCAGTGAAGGGAGATGGGGATTCTGAGCTCTGGCTTCCCAAAAGTTCTTGAAGTGTCTTTCTGTTTTTTAAGGCTATTTATTTCTTCCATGAGCAAGAGAGAAAGGTAGAGAGATTGTGTCCTCAACAGGGTCCCCAAGCCACGATCCACCCTCAGCCTCAGTCAGTCCTGGATCTTGGTGCATATGTGTCTGGTGTACTCGGGGAGGTCTCTAGACACGAACCCAGAATCTTCCCATGTTGGTCAGCCTCAGAGCGTCATGTGTTACCACTGTACCACTGACTGGCTCTACACCCTTCCCCTCTGACATATCCTCACAAGAAGGAAGGTCAAATGGGCAGGAGACATTGGGAACACACCCCCACACTCACTGACAACTCTCTGACCTTCTGACCTAGGGTTTCACCACCGCTTCAATCCGAAAGCATCCAGCTCCTTCCACCCCAATGGGACCAAGTTTGCCATTCAGTATGGAACGGGGCGGCTAGCCGGAATCCTGAGCAAGGACAAGCTGACTGTGGGTGACCTTCTGCCCAGGAAGGATTGGGCCTGGAAAAGCCGGCCTAGGCTCCAGGAAGTGGGACTTTCTGGAAAGGCGTGGGCTTCCTTAGAGAGGCCAAGTTTCCTAGCAGCTGGGCCTTGTTTCCAGAGGTCCCCCAACCCGGGAGTCATGCTTTTGGGGACTGTGGGGATCAGTGGGTGATGCCCTCTTAGAAGTAACTGCCCCTGGGACCAGCAGTTAGTGTAATGGCTGTATCGCTGGACTCCCACGTAGTCGACCGCAGTTCGCATCCCAGACCTGGTAGCTTAAAACTCATGCTGGGCACGTATGCGTGTGTGCCTGAGATCCCGAGAGGAGAACAGAGGAGAAGGGACTGCGGCGTGACCATCCCCCCGGGGGGTGATTTCTCGCTTTCTGTCTCTCTGTCTGTCTCTCTCTGTCTGTCTCGCAAGTGCATGTGCCCTATAGCAAAAACCTCTCCAAAAAAAAAAAAAAAACTAACTTTAACCCAATCCTTAACTCAAGTTATTTAACTTAATCCTTAAATCAAGCTATGTACAGCCAAGATTCCTTTTTTCTATTTTTCTTTGCTTCTCCATTTCTCCTCTAGCATTGAGTCTTCATAGCAATGGCTTCAAATGATGAGTCTGCTACACTACCATGAATTCACGGATCTGATACGTTTATGAATGGGAAAAATAAAGAGCGAGGGACACTCGCACGCAGGACCGATGGACTTCATACCGCAAATCTACTTTTTGTGTCTAAAGGGAGATGGATTCTTTTCAACCCTAGCATACTTCAAAAAAAAAAAAAAAAAGCAAAACGGATTGATTAAGCTATCACTCACAAACTATAAAAGAAACCAATTT